CCCCGCCCGCCCCCCCAGGCTGGCGCCCCTGCCGCACCTGAGGCTGCAGAGGCAGGCACGAGCACTGGGCGCGAGGCGGCAGAAGCCGAAGCGCTGGTTCCCGTCCATGTCCGTGAGGGCGAAGGTGAAGTTCTGCACTGGGGCCCCATCCTGCCCCCTGTGGGGGAGCGGAAGCCAATGGTTAGAGCTGGGGGTGGTGGGGTGGTGCTGGGAGCCTGGATTCCTGGGTTGTCTTCTAGCCCTGGGGAAGGCAGTTGGGGCCAGCCCCAAAAACCCAAGCACCTTCCCCTGAGTCACAAGCCATAGACCATGGGGATGGGAGTGGATGGGGGACGCCCGGAGCTCTATTTGGCTACATGCACCCACACGTATGTACATGCTGCTTGTGACATGCATGCAGGCACAGACACGCACGGAATCCCATGTGTGCCCAGACCCCCACAACACACATGGACACACATACTCCAGTATGCACACAAGTGCTCACAGCCCAGTGCATGTAGCAATCCTACATGGGTGCTCATATGTGCACAGATACCTGTGTATGTACACAGGAGTGCATACACACCCAGAGAGATGCACATGCTTGCACACATACAAGCACACACTCATGGGCCCACCCAGCCAGATGGAAATGCATGTACACACAGAAGCACATGCACAGATGTGCACACCCAGGAAGATACACGTGTGCACATACACATAGATGCACACCCAGGCAGGTGCAGGCAGAGGCACATATGGATGAACACATGCACAGGCAGATGCCCAGGCACACGGCTGTGCTCCCAGATAGATGCACATACAGATGTACACTCAGATGCTTGGGCACACAGATACACACCCAGGAAGGTTCACACACATACACATACGAACATGGATGCACACCCAGGCAGGTGCACACATGCGCACGCACACACACATGCATACCCAGACATGTGCAAAAGTGGACACACATGGATATGCAGGTGCACACACATGTACACTCACCTCTCCACATCGAATGGGAAGCAGAACCGGGGTAGCATCTGGATTGACTCCTGGGAGCAGAGAATAGAGCTGCAGCCTGTCCTGGATGGGCCCCATGGGGTCTTGCCCCACACCCTGGCCTGGGCCAAGCTGGGGCTCCCAGCAGGGGCGCTCTGGGGTTGGGGGGTGGGGTGGGGGGAGATGGGGCCAGACCTGGTCTTCAAACTCCTCTGGGAATTGTCTCAGCACCAGGGGGTCTGCAGAGAAAGCAGAGGAGTCGTGAGACCCCCGGCCCAGTCCCTAGCCCTGAAGCCCACCTAGGGTGGGGAGAAAACCCAGGCATTCGGGCTCCTAACACCCCCTGCTCTGACCCCCCAAGCCTGCATGACCCTCCCAGGGAACCCAGGTGTCCAGGCTTCCAGTCCCTCTGCTCTCACACCCCGCCCCCCCATCTGTGCAGAGAACCCAGACATCCAGGCTTCGTGCTCCCCCCTACTCGGAGCCCCCATACACCACTCCCCTTCCAGAGAACCCAGGTGTCTGGGATCCCAGCCCCTCTCCCCCTCTGCAGTAACCCTAGTGGCCCCCCTCCCCTTCCAGAGCTGGCCACAACCCAGGAGAGAGCCCCGGCTCCCAGCAACCTGCTCTCACCCCCCAGTCCCTGCGGCAAGCCTGGTAGCTTCCTGTGGCTGCTAGAGGCGGAAGGGGCCTGGCCGGGGGTGGGGAAGGGTTCAGACCCTTGCTCACAGGCCTGGGGGAGTGATGGGGGAGCCCTGGACATCCCAGGGGGCAGGGGAAGCGTCCTAGCCCCCCATGGGAGTTTGCTTCTGGCCTGGATCAGATGGCCAGCGAGCACAGCAGACATACAGCTGGTTCTTGGGCAGGGGGGCGCAGATCCTAGGCTCCTGCTGCTGTGACCCCCACACCCTCCCAGAGCCAGGAGAGAACTCAGGTGTCCCGGCTCCCATCAACCTGCTCTCCCCCAGCAAGCCTCTCTCCTCCCAGAACTGGGAGAGAACCCAAGCATCCAGGCTCCCAGGACCCCTCATCTAACCCCAACCCCAGCCCCAGCCCCCTCCCAGGCCATCCAGGTTCTTGGATGAGAGCCCACTGCAGCCCACTTCTCCCAGAACTTGTGAGGGAACCCAGGCACCCAGGCTTCCCCCCACAAAAGCTGAGCTATATCTGAGGCGGGCCCAGATCATGGAGAACAGGAAGTGAATCACACTCCTTGCAGGTGCAAAGAGCGGGTGTGGGGGAGGGGGTGCAGAAAGTAACTGCCCCAGGAGAGGAGGGTTGGGTAGGGCCAGGAGGCAGTTACTTTTAACTGTCCCCCACAACCCCACCACACCTCAGCTGGAGGCAAAGGCCAGGTGGAAGATGGTGATCTCCCAGCCAGGAGCTAACTCTGATAGATCCTGCAGGGAGTCCACAGGAGGCCCAAGGGCTGGGAGCACCTGTAAAGCTTCCAGGGCCCTGTCCTGGAGACCCCACTCCCAATGGCCATGGGAGGCGCCACTGGGGTCATGGAGCTGTGGGACCTAGGTGTCCGAGCTCCCAGGCCCCCCTGCTCCCTTCCCCAAGCTGGGAGAGAACCCAGGTGTCCAGGCTCACAACCATGCCCCTCCCAACCCTCCACCCCAGTCCTTCCCAGAGCTGGGAGAGAACCCAGGAGTCCAGCCTGGGTGCCCCATTCCCTTGGGCTCCTTGCACCCACCCCCCACCCCTGGCCAGACACAGGGGCTCCCAGGTGACCCCACCCCAACACTCACCATCCTCTGGGGTTGCGGGGCAAGAGGCCTCCAAGAAAAAGTCAAAGGTCCTGGTGGGGTTTTCCCTGCGGGGGAGGGGAGGAGGACCCCGCACTGAGAATGGACACAGCTCAGTGCACCGGTGGGGTCATGTGGCCCAGGCAGAGCCAGGCCTGAGGGGTGGAGGTGGGGGGAAAGGCCCAGCTCAGATGCTTGCAGTGAGGGCAGGGGGGAGCAGTGGGGCTGGGAGCCCGGACACCTGGGTGCTCTTTCTGGTCTAGGAGGGGAGTAGAGCCCCCTGCTCTCAGCCCCCACTCCCCTCCCAGAGAAGGGAGAGAACCCAGGCATCCTGGCAACAACCACGAGACCCCACTCCCCGCTCCCAAGAGCCGAGGCAAGCGAACCCAGGCATCTGGCTCCCTGCTCTCACCCCCTGCCCTTGCTGCAGACAGAGCCCAGGCATCCGGGCTCCAACCAGTAGCCCCAACTCCCCTCCCAGAGCCTGGAGCAGAGAACCCAGCTGACCGACCTCCCTGCCCTCCCCTGCTGTAGCTAGAACCCAGGTATCCTGGGTTCCCAACCCCTGCTCTCAAACTCATGCTCCCCTCCTGGTGCTGGGTACTAAGACCCAGGTGCCCAGTCTCCAACCACTAGCCCCACTCCGCTCCCAGAGCTGGAGAGAACCCAGGTATCTGAGCTCCCCCCTACCTGCTCTCACCCCTGCTCCCCTCCCAGAGCTGGGGGAGAGAACCCAGGCATCCGGGCTCCACCCGCACCTGCTCCCTGCTGCAGCCAGAACCCAGGCGCCTGGGTTGGGGAGCTCTTACTTGATGCGGCAGCCCATGGCACCAGGGGGCAGGGGGACCCCCAGAGCTGGTGGCCACGAGCCCCCCGGCCTCCTCAGCACCCCCCCATTGTTAGCGGGTGCCCAGGAGCATCTCAGGGCGGTGGGGGGGAGCGAGTTGTTGCAGCTTCCTGCGTGGGTTCGGGGAAGAGGAAGTCACCAAGGGGGTGGCTCTGGGCCAAGTGGGTGGGGAGGCTGGTCTATCCCCACATCCCCATGGCTCCCCACCTCCTCCCAGGGCTGGGAGACAACCCAGGAGTCCAGGTCTGTCTAACCCTCCCCCCCTACTCCTACATCCTCCCCAAGCTGGGACAGAACCCAGGAGTCCGAGGCCCATCTAAACCCCCCGGCTCTGCTCCTGATCTGAGACAACCCAGGAGCCTGGGCCCCTTAGTCCTCTAGGCCTTTCCAGAGTGGGGAAAGAACCCAAGAGTCTGGGCCCCTCTAACCCCCGCCTCCCACACATCCTCCTGCAGCAAGAAGGGAAGTCAGGAGCCCTGGGCCTGGCTCCATCTACCCCTCCACTCCTAGGCCGAGAGAGAACCCAGGGGCCTGGGCCCAGTCTAACCCCACCTCCCCCAGTCTCTTCCCAGAGTAGGGAGAACCCAGGAGCCCCAGCGCCTGCAGGTGGGGGAGGGGGCTGTCACCTGGTGGTAGTACCCACAGGGGCACAGCAGGGGGCACTGGGGGAAACGGCCAGGGACCCTCCCAGCACAGCAGCTGAGGAAAAGAACCAGGTGTCCCCCTCTGCACAGTGCCCTTACTGCCCACCAAGGGGCGCTCCCAGCCCAGCTGAGCCCCCCCCGGCTGTGCCCTGTCAGCAGTAGACGCGCCCCCCCCAGCCAGGAGATAATCCAGGCTGCCGAACTCCCAGCATCCAACGGGGCCCTTGGCCAGACGTCTGGGATCGTGCCTGGTACCAGGAGGGCTCCGGCTGCAGCTCCCCACAGCCGCAGCCACCCTCCCCCCACAGTGTCATAGACCCTGTATGGCTAGGGGGGAGTCCCGCCCCGGCCCTAGACCTTAGCCCCCAGGCAATGCATGCTGGGTAACACTGGGACCAGCCACCAGGGTGCACCTGGGGTATAAAAATCACACCCCCCAGGGGTGGCTGCACAAGTAATTTGCCCTGCTAATTACCCCCAAGGGGCAATAGCAGCTCCTGCTGCCCCATGCAAGGGGTGGGCATAGAATCTCAGCCCCACCCTAGCAGTGATTGCTTGGGCCAAGACCCCAGTGAAGGGGGTGGGAATGCCCCAGTCTAGGGGTGTTAGGCACCTGGGAGAGGCAGCGCTTGAGTAGTTAGCCATGCCCAGAAAGAGGAGGGCAGGTCTGGCACCTAGCCCAGTCCAACAGCCCCCTCCCAGTCTAGACTGAGCAGCCTCCTCCTGTGTTCAGGCGTCACCCCTCACCCCTACCAGATGCTGGTGGAAGCAGTGTGGGGAATAACGGAGGGGTCCCAGCTCTTAAATAGGGTATGTGGGGAAAGAACCCAGGTGTCCGAGGCTCCCCACTCTAACCCCCTGCAGGTGGAACTCAGGTGTCCGGGGCTGGGCCCAGGGCTCTTACCACAGTCCCTGGCCCTCTCCTAGCACATGCCTCTCCTGCTACCTGGGTTGAAAGTGGGGCAGGCAGGGGAAGCCCCCAAACCACAGCTCACTGCCTCCCAAACTTGGCCCAGACCCTCCCCACAAAAAGGAAAGAAGCAGCCACTGAGTTCTGGCATCTTTGACTGATACTTTTATTGTGGAAACACACAGACAGGCCTGGTGGGAGCCCAAATCCCGCCCCCTCCCTCCCCCTCTGGCCCAGCCAATGGAGAAAGAGAAAGATCCATGTGGGATGAGTTAGTGCAGACTCAGCCCCAGGAGAGAACACCACAGGGGACTGGACAGGACATGGGGGGGGGGGGGGGGGG